GTTTGGTGGTGTGAAGTTCCGCCTTGACCATCGATCGCTGCAGTGAATGTGAAAAAAATCATTCATCTAAGTACGCATCTACTCACATTTAACTGAAAATGCCGATCCACTCACTAGAGGTAGTTTGGCCTTGATGCCTCCTTGTCTCGTACATTCCCCTACATCCCGACGACTCAGTAGTATCCCTTTAAGACACTCTTAAGGTAGCTTAAACCGTAGTCATTATTACTAGCTTAATACAACGACTTCAAGCCACCTTCATGACTTGTAGCCGTAAAATTCAGAGCATTTTGTTGTTGCATGAAGTTGCAATCTCTCCCTCTCTCTCTCTCTCTCTCTCTCTCTCTCTCCCGAAGTTCTACTCTTTAATTCAAGTGCATTAAGTTAGTGAAGTTAAAAGTACTAATTTTAACCACGGAAGTGCTTTTATCCACTATGTACAATTGCTCGACTAGTCTTTGAGCACAACACGACATTTACCGATCAAACATTAACACAGTAGTTTAATGCAAATAACTCAAAGTCTAACGTAATTAGCCTGTAAAACTCCGAAATTGACAAATTGAAATTCAGTCAATTTCAAATTCGGAAATACAATATTTTCCTTTCATCAAATCTAATCTGCTTCAAGAGACCCGATATTGTAATACTTATTCTGGCAATTCAACAACGTTTCCCATACGATAGTCTGCGCACCAAATAGTATCCCTTGCACTTAATTACATCACTTAAGCATATTCTAGCACATATAGGTAGAAGAAACAAGGAAGTTGGTTTGCGCAATTATGCCCAATTTATTAATATATAAAATCAGAATAAATGTACAGGGTAATCTACTAGTAAAGTGGAGCAGGAGGGGGAGGTTGTTTTATTACACCCTGTTGGAATTAAGAATTGATTCAATGCTGAAAGGCGTTGATAGTGAAGAGGAAGTGATGCTCGAAGATGGAGTTGAAGCTGTTCGATTATTGGTCGCAGACAAATCAGGACAGGGTTCAAGAACAGGAGGACAGAAACGCATGGACGCTTCAATGGTCCGCCTCTGAATAGAATCTATTGACCCGAGAAAATCACTAAGATAATGTGGTGGATTTGTGGTGCTTGAGTGACTTAAACTTCCGGAATTTGAGATTGAATTTCTTAAGCATCGCTTATACCTCTTTTTGCGACGCAGGAAACTACCGTTTTTAAACATATCTACGGCTTCAGGATCCAGTGCCCAGTAATTGCCTTTACCAGTACTACCAGGTTCTCTAGGCACCTTGACAAAGCAATCATTGAGGGAGAGATTGTGGCGAATAGAGTTTTGCCACGCCGGGAAACGTACCCGGTAGTAGGGAAAGTTTTGCATGATATAATCGCAAATACTCGAAAGAGTAAGCCTATTCTCGCGTGAATGCATTAGGGCCATTGTAATCAAAGCAATGTACGAAAAAGGAGGCTTGATGGAGCTGGAATCATGATCACCAAAACCACCAGTTTTGTAGAAGAACCTCTCTTCGAAGATACCGGATGGAGACTTGGAAAGGCTTTGAGAAGTAGAATTGGATTGAGCTGTTCTAGGCGTGATGTTCAATATTTCTCCGATATATTTCTCAAGATCAGGATTATATCGCCTTGGCAGTTGTGGAATACAAGTTTTGGTCTGATCTCCCATTACCAAATTGAAAGTAGATATGAGGGGCAGCAGAGAAACTCCGTCCTGTCAACCGTTCTGTTATATATGTTTTTCATGCCTTAAGTCGCTTCTGATTGGTAAGTGTATTACCCAATGAGATGGCCTCGTTGTATTAAACGTCTCATGCCAGAAATTATCAAGAGACTACCCTTTGTTAACGTTGCTCTCAAAATTTTTATTTACCGTATTTTTCAGAAGGCACCTGTCTATTAACTTTACCTTGCGATTCTTTCATAACTGGTATTTTAAAACACTAAAGTCAAGAAGAAAACTTTTTGCTTAACTAAGTGAAAAATGAAAAATACCATGAGGTAAGTTTCACGCTCTGTTGTAGGTTATTGTTCCATCTTACAATTTGCCAAAACTACGTAATCTATTTCATGTCTTGAAATACTTGTAAGAAATTAATCTACAGTGAACTCCGGACCTGGGTTTTAATAAGGTCATTTCGGAATTACGCAAGCCCAAAAACAATTATGATTTATATGGCGAATAAAGTTTGTTTCTGTTGGCAAGTTTTTCATTTGTTCTTCTATTAAATACCTTTACGAATTTGTTGGTATAACTTAATTAATTTGCTATACACTTGAACCAAACTTAGTAGGACGAAATCTGAACATATCAAAGATACTGCTGGTGTCTGTAGGACTATAAATGTCAGAAATTTTAATCAAGACCTGTAAAGTTGATTTTTTTGCAACCGGATACTTATATTTCATCAAAACTTATAGCTTATCACTTTGAATGTCTTCCTCGTTTGCTTCACGCGTTATTTATGGAAAATTAGATTCCAGCATTAACTCAGTGTGAAAATGTCAAAATTAAGGTTCAATTCTGAGCTTGGGTCTTTCAAAAAAATCTAAGCGAAAATGTATTTAACTGAGAATAAAACTAGAAGCAACGAACCCATGATAAGTAACCCTAAAATATCTAAACAGGACAACAGTACCGACTGAGGCAAACAATATAAACGTTTTGTATCAATAGGTTTCCTCTCTTAATTCAATGTGTCCTCCGTCAAGATAACTTCGAGAATTTATCTATTTCGGAATAATGAATCAGTAAGATGCGTGAACATGTGAAGGCCGATTTCTATAAATGATGCTTTTCAGGCTGTTATTTATTCATGTTTTTTTAGACAAAATGGAGAGAACTGGCAGATTGGTTTTCGATTATTTTTTGTTTAACTTTCCTGAATTTCCTTTCTTCTAGGTCTAATAGACGATTCCATCTGAACGGGACTCAACTTTAATTGAATATTTGAACTTTATGCTTCTCAAAACATGAATAAGCAGGCCAATTTTAAGAGGATAGCGTTAGTGCACAATGCTTATAACAGACTTAAACACGATGCCAAAACAAAATTTGTATGGAAATTATTCTACGGATGGCTAATATGAGGATTTTTTCTCAAATTTTACCTAGCCCTCATTTTCGTTTAAAAGTATAATTTTTCAAAATGAGGCAATGTTCCATTCGTCTCCAAGTAATCACAGGATATATTTTAGACTTTGCATGCCAGGATATAAACGAGGCTTTCCAATTATCTTAAAGCAAGTTAAAGTTTCTAAAATTTGTAATTTTATACCTGATTTCTCTGTCTCCATAAAGCGCCTTGCAAAACCCGAGTGAGGTTCATTTTTATACAAATAACTGAAAGTAATTTAAAGTAATGATCACTGTGGTCGAGTTATGTTCCGGTGCCATGCTAATTTATAGAAGTTTTGCTTTCTAGCAAATGGCAGGCGATTTGATAGTTATCATTAGTCCTTAAGTAGACTTCGGGGTTTACAGAGGGGAGGAGGAACATCAAAGGGAGAAAAAGCCGAGGGAAGGAACAGAAAAGCGATTCACAGAAGTAAAAGAGACAGATACAAAGGCAGGGAAATAGGTAAGGTGAGTATTGTGGAATTAGTCGAATATGACATGCAGTCGGATCCTGGTATTTTGAAGTCAACTTTCGGTTTATAGTTATACCGACACGTTGAGGTAAGTCAATCGCGCTCCCAATTTATAAGTAATAATGGAGAAACTGTCAGAGTTTCAACAACTTAAATAATAATTATTTCCCGAATTCCCGATTCAAATATTTTTTTGCTCGGAGTTTAAGCAAAATAACTATTCAGTTAATTTAATTCTAAAGTGGATCAAATTTATATTCTTCTTTTGCAAAACTTATATTCGAGTTGTAGTGGATTGCTACACTAATTCGCCTCGACTTATCCTTATTAATCGCCACAGCCAGATCCCCCATTTTGGAATGGTTCCCAGGATCATCTAGGCCACTGCAAAGCTGTAGAGGAGCCAGACGTATGGTGTGGCATTAGTTTATTTTGGGCCCTGTATCATGGACACGGAGCTTAGGCATTGTAATACAATGAAGGGTTTGTTAAACAAAGCAAGGAGAATTGATTGGTGGCTGGTTAAGTGGTCAACAATCACTTCCCTACTCGCTTCCTAGGCGACAAGTAGTACCACGTACCTTCGAGTCTGCCTGAGTGTGCGTGACTTTCCTCGCTCAGCCGTGACAGTGTTGCATACTTCACGACGTCCACGCTACTCCCGTGTATGCCTTTAGCTAAGTCACTTTGAAGTAGTGTTCAACTCATGCGTTAGTTTTTTACATTTATTACCACCTACCAAGCCATGGCAACTATTTCACAAAATCAACACACGCCTACCGGCCCTAAGGATTACGAATTAATCCATTCTAAATTTACATACCATTAGCAAATGCGCGTAGAAACAGCAAAATATGGGGATTAACTAATGGAGCACACCCCAAAAGTTAAACGCACACAAATTCAATCATAACTAGGGTTTGCAATAGACTTACCTCTATGTGGTGCACCCTGGGCAACGTATATTCATACGGCAAAAAACGGTGCACCCTGGGCAACGTATATTCATACGGCAAAAAGTCCGTACACCGGCAGCTGACTTCTGACTTCAAACTACCATTACCCCCCTTCACTTTGATGTTCCCTCCCCTCTGTGAAGCCCGAAGTCAACTAAAGGGCTAATGATAACCATCGAAACGCCTGCCATTTGATATAAATAAACTTTAATCATAACTATTAATTAACGTCTACTAACAATCTGTAAGTAAAATAGGCCTGTCCAACCAAAAAATACGCTTGGGACAAATATAACTATTAATGGCTTGATTTATAAAAATGTGCGGGTGGTACAACAATACAATGTCATTAAAATGCGATAAAGTTCATTGACGATGACATTGAATTTTAACCGCTACCGTCTCTTTCACCTGAAAAAATAAGCGAAGGGAGTAAGAATCAAGAAGATCAGAAGATTAATTTAAGCAGAAAAACATACCATCAGATGAGTCTTCGGGTTGTGGAGAATTAGACCCAGAGCGCGAAGGTGTATGAGCTCCAACACGAGGACTGGGTGACCTTGACCCAGAGGGGGAACGAGATTGAGAATGGCGACTGCCACTGCGCTTCGAACCATTTTCATGAGAGCCATTTCGATTAGCAGGACTTCCAGATCGTCTACGAGAACTCGCACCAGATGCTGAGCGAGAACTCGAGCGTGACCTTCTAGGAGGCGAATCCCTTGAAATTGACCGACGAGGCTCGGACTCG